AAACCAGCCTGAGCAAGAGCGAGACCCCGTCTCTACTATAAATAGAAAGAAACTAATTGGCCAACTAATATATATATAAAAAATTAGCCGGGCATGGTGGCGCATGCCTGTAGTCCCAGCTACTTGGGAGGCTGAGACAGAAGGATTGCTTGAACCCAGGAGTTTGAGGTTGCTGTGAGCTAGGCTGACGCCACGGCACTCACTCTAGCCTGGGCAACAAAGTGAGACTCTGTCTCAAAAATAAATAAATAAATAAATAAATAAATAAATAAATAAATAAATAAATAAATAAATAAATAAAAGTGTTTTGCTTTTGGAAATAGGAACCGGGATCTTGGATTAACATAGCAGTTGCTCTCAACTTTGCCGTAGAGGCTCTAAGATTATTCTTACAGAGAAGTGAAAACCAACATTTATCGAGTGTCTGTTATAAGCCATGACACTTAGCTGGAAACTTCATAGACACTGTCTCATCTGTCTCAGAGCAGACTTACAGTAGGTACTATTATTGTCATTGAATAATGAGAGAACTGAGGCTCTGAAAGGATAAACTGTTTGCTCCAGGCCACACAGCTAGTAAGCAACAGTGGACTTGGTCCTAAGCCTGTGCCCATCCCATTATTCTACACTGTAAGAAGATGAGTTGGCCTGAGATTCTCAGTTCCTTCAAGGAGCTTTGGGATCACTAGTGAAGGGCCCATTGCAGCAGACATGAGACCTCCAATTGGTTGAGCGCTTAATGGTCACTGGTGCTTTACATAAATCATCTTGTAAGGGTAAGGATTTGGTTCAACCAAATGAAATGATCATCATCGTGGGTTAAAACAGTTGAACGCTATCAATTTCACATGGCTCCAACTAATATTTTACAGATGAGTAAATTGAGTTAGATGGAATTAACTTGCCCACATCTACCTCCCACATGCCAGAGGAAGGGAGGTTCATACTTCATATTTATTGTTTGAAAGGAAAAATAAAAAATCTTGCTTAAAGTCACACATGTAATTCATGATAGAGCTAGTGTTCAAACTCAGGTCTGGCTGTCAACACTATTCCAAATCTTAGTATCAGTGAAGATTTGTTCAAATATCTCCTTTTTTTTTTTTTTTTGAGACAGAGTCTCACTTTGTTGCCCAGGCTAGAGTGAGTGCCGAGTGCCATGGCGTCAGCCTAGCTCACAGCAACCTCAAACTCCTGGGATCAAGCAATCCTCCTGCCTCAGCCTCCCGAGTAGCTGGGACTACAGGCAAGCACCACCATGCCCGGCTAATTTTTTTCTATATATACTTGTTGGCCAATTAATTTCCTTCTTTTTTTTTTTTTTTTTTGAGACAGAGTCTCGCTTTGTTGTCCAGGCTAGAGTGAGTGCCGTGGCGTCAGGCTAGCTCACAGCAACCTCAAACTCCTGGGCTCGAGCGATCCTTCTGCCTCATACATATCAGTTGGCCAATTAATTTTTTTCTATTTATAGTAGAGACGGGGTCTCGCTCTTGCTCAGGCTGGTTTTGAACTCCTGACCTTGAGCCACCACGCCTGGCCTAATTTCCTTCTATTTACAGTAGAGATGGGGTCCTGCTCTTGCTCAGGCTGGTTTCAAACTCCTGACCTTGAGCAATCTGCCCGCCTCGGACAAATCTCCATTTTTAACAAAATAGCTGAGGCCAAACTCTGCCATTCCAAATAGACTTGAAAGGTAATAACCTCTGTGGGCCACAGGAATGACCTATGAGCCCAGGCTCTGCCCACCCACTCCTGGCAGGGCCAGGCTCTCATTTGCATTTGCGGGGCAGGGGAGCCCAGCGGGAACAGAGGTCTCTGTCTGCACCTACGGTGACAGCAGCTGGTACCTGAAACAAATTCACTCGGCTTAGTAAAAAATTAATTTTACACCCTAATTATCTCCCAGAAATGTTGAACTTTCAAGACACTCAAAATATGAAGGCTGTTATATGTATAATTAAAAAATGTGATTGCTCCTTATTGGAGCAGTCCACTCTCCACCATCTTTGAGCATTTAAAAAAAAAGAAAAAGAAAACAAATATCCAAAATGGAAAATTTTAGGAATTAAATTTTTGAAATAAAATATTTTTAACTTGCTACCTAGTTTTTCTTTCTTAGAGAAAGAACACAATGGGAAGATTTTTATATAAACCAATATTATTGGTTAAGTATAATTCCTAGTCACAGAAGGACTTCCCTGACCCTGTAGTTTCCAAATTTCCAGAAATCTTGCACTTCTAGACCTTCTTATATCATTTCTAAGCCTGTCAGGTTATTCAACTTTTGTCTTTTTAAAAAATGTGTTAGTATAATTAGAAAAATACACACCTCCAAGCCAACAATCATTCAGTAATTGTTGAGATCCAACACAATGTAAAATAAAGTTCATCTGATAAGGCTCATGTTACTATATCAAAAGCTACTACTGCTCAAAAACTTTCAGTGGCTTCATAAAAATGTTCAAAGTCTTTCCACACACCTCTGTGGGCTGTTCTATTGTACAGCATTCTCTCCAATTTCCACATATTGAATGAAATGCCATCCGTTCTCAGGGATGATTCAAATCATACGTCCTCTGTTGCTATTCATTTGTTCACAGCCAGTTCCTGTAGCGTATTGTTAGCATCTACATTACGGCACTTGTTACAGCTCCCCTATATCAGTTATTTACGTGAGGGTCTGTCTCCCTCCCTATGCTGTGGGCATCAGGAGTCCCCTGGTCCACAGAAGAGGCTCAGTAGGCACACCGCACTGAAGAAAATGTACAATCACAGCTTTACTGCGTTCATAAAGAGAATACACGTTAAGCAACACCATGGAAAATACCACAGTGAGCAGAGAGAACAGGAACAAGCTAGAACAAAGTGCTGTTGTAGGCTTCTCTAAAGATCCCTGTCCAAAACCAAGCTGGGCCTTACTTCCTCTAATGGGGTTTGCCCATGGACTCAGAACATTCTAGAGACTCTCTAATACTGGCAGAGCAGATGCCACGTTCTGCCTGTATGCTTTCCCTGGCATATGAGGAATCCCATCACCGAGGAAAGACGAACCAATGGGGCAGTCTGCTTCTAGGCCACAGACAGGAAGCTCATGGGGAAGGGGAAACCAGAGTGACCAACTTCCTTCAACAGGACAGGTGGCGGTCAGGGGCAGAAAAGAAGACATTGTGGCCACTAGCTGCCATATATGGTCCTGTCTTCTCTGGCTCTTATCTCTCTCTTTTCTTTAAGAGACAGGGTCTTTCTTGTTCTATTGCTCAAGCTGGAGTGCAGTGGCACAATCATTGCTCACTATAGTCTTGAACTCCTGGACTCAAGCGATCCTCCTGCGTCAGCCTCCCTAGTAGCTAGGACCACAGGTTCACACTACCACGCCTGGCTATTGGCTGGATGCCGTGGCTCACGCCTGTAATCCTAGCACGCTGGGAGGCCAAGGCGGGTGGATTGCTCAAGATCAGGAGTTCGAAACCAGCCTGAGCAAGAGCAAGACCCTGTCTCTACTAAAAATAGAAAGAAATTAATTGGTCAACTAAAAATATATAGAAAAAACTAGCTGGGCATGGTGGCACGTGCCTGTAGTTCCAGCTACTCAGGAGGCTGAGGCAGGAGGATCACTTGAGCCCAGGAGTTTGAGGTTGCTGTAAGCTAGGCTCACTCCATGGCACTCTAGCCCAGGCAACAGAGTGAGACTCTGTCTCAAAAAAAAAAAAGAAAAAAAATTTTTCTTGTAGAGATGGGGTCTTGCTATGTTGCCCAGGTTGGACTTGAACTCCTGATCTCAAGCAATCCTCCCAGCTCAGCTTCCCAAAATGCTGGGCTTATAGCCATGAGCCACGGCACCTGGCCTTTATTTTTTTTTTTAGAAATTGGTGGGGGGGTAGTTCTCGTTTTTTGTCCATGTTGTCCTCAAACTCCTGGGTTTAAGTGATCCTCCCACTTCAGGTTCCCCAAGTAGCTGGGACTACAGGCATGCCGTTTCTCTAGCAAGTAATCTGGGTGGTATAATTTAACAGAAAGTGAACTACCAAAATTTTCTCCCTCACAGCCTGAAACTAACAAGAGCAATCATTGGAATTAACCCACAGTCTCCCACTTGGGGCCAGGAAGCGGAAGACCAAGCACTCCCACCTCAGGGAGAAGCTATTTGATCAGTTTGCTTTCCTGGCTGATTCACTTGGGAATGAGTTTTTATGTGGAAAGGAGGAACTGGAGAGAACCTGAGGTAATTTTGAGGCCTGAGGCACTTTAGCGGAAGGACAGGCCTGGGTGCGCTGCCACGCCACATAGGGAAGGGCTTACTGACAGGATTAGGGCACCCTGGAGGGCTCTGGGCCAAGCAGACCTGGCTGTCCCACTTAGGAGTCATGTGGCCTTTTAGTGCCTCAGTTTCCCCATCTGATGCTAATACATGGTTCTGGTAGGGGTAAGATAATATATGTGAATGTCTTGTGCAATATGTGGCAGGTATTATTATTAATCCATGTCTCTTTAACGCAACCCCCTGATTACAACACTGGGAGAAAGTTGTTCCTTGTCTTTCCTAAGTCGAGGGCTGTCCACCCCCGCCCCCACCTGTCACGGCAGGTGTGTTAGAGAAGAATGGACCCTGGCACACGGCCAATGCACCCACTCCCCTGAGGCATGGGAGCAGCCTCTTTCCTATATCCTTACCACGCATGTGCTCCAGGGCCTAGGATGGTGCCTGGCAAACAGGAGGTATGCCTAAGGGTACTTCTCGAAGTGAGCCACAAGGGAACTTGGTCACATGTCCCAACTGACCTTATCAAACCCTCTGACTCCTCCATGTAGACTGTTGGGCTCCCTGTTAATGGCCAGATGATACTCCTTCCCATCGATCTTGAATGTTCCTTTGGCGATTCGGTTGACCACCCTTCCAACCACTGCTCCAAAGTAGGGCTTGTTTTGGAGATACCCTGAAAGGACACGAGATGACAGCGCTTTTAGAACTTCAAGCGGAAGGCGAGGCGCACACTGTTTCCACTCCCTTCTTCTGAGGGAAGCTGCACCCAGCAACAATTTGGGCATATTGACGTCCCCAAGGAAGCACAGAAGATGGCATGTTTTACATGTGGCCTTTTCCAAAAGTAATTCATGTTCATTACAAAAAATGTTAAAGAACCTTATAAAGAAAGCACACAGAAAAAAATGTAAATCCCCCTTAATTAGTAGAAAGAACCACTGTTTATAATATTCTTTTTTTTTTAATTTTTTATTTACTTTTTTTTTCCTAAATGTAAGAACGTGTTCTGTAATATGTTTATAATATTCTTATGCACACCTATCGTTTTGTCTTTAAGTGCATGCATGTGTGCTTTTTTTCCTATTTACAAAACTAGGATCTTAGTACAGCAGGCCCCCCTTATCTGAGGGGGATCCGTTCCAAGACCCCCAGTGAATGCCTGAAACTGTGGATAGTTCTGAACCATATATATATACAAATACATACATATATGTCTGTCTTATCCAATCCATACATACCTATGATAAAGTTTAATCTCTAAATTAGGCACATGAGAGATTAATAACAATAACTAATAATAAAATAGAACAACTATAACAATATACTGCAATAAAAGTTATGTAAATGTGGTCTCTCTCTTTCTCTAAGAATATCTTATTATAACATACTCACAAATTTTCAGATTGCAGTTAACCTCAGGTAATTGAAACCTCGGAAAGCGAAATCATGGATAAGGGGGATTTACTATATGATGCTGCTTTGTAATCTGCTTTTTTTCTAGGCCAATCAATTTTCTTAACTAAAAAGTATATTTTTGTGTAGTCCTGAGGGGAAAATATCTTATTCTTCTTTCTCTTTTTCAGAAACCACACAGTTGGTATTGATACATGAAAATATCCTTTAAAGAGAGTTAAATAATACAGAAGGATACAGAGTAGGCTTGCCAGAGGAACTATAGGATGCTCAGTTAAATATGAATTTCAGATAAATGATAAATAATTTTTTAGCATAAGTACGTTCATATTACCATTATATATGGGACATACTTACGCTTTAAAGGAAAAGTTGTTTTTCTTTTTTTTTTTTTTTTGAGATAAGAGTCTCACTCTGTTGCCCAGGATAGAGTGCCATGGCATCAGCCTAGCTCACAGCAACCTCAATCTCCTGGGCTCAAGCAATCCTCCCGCCTCAGCCTCCCAAGTAGCTGGGACTACAGGCATGTGCCACTATGCCCAGCTAATTTTTTCTATATTAATGTTGGCCAATTAATTTCTTTCTATTTTTAGTAGAGACGGGGGTCTCACTCTTGCTCCAGCTGGTTTCAAACTCCTGACCTTGAGCGATCCACCGGCCTCAGCCTCCCAGAGTGCTAGGATTACAGGCGTGAGCCACCACGCCCGGCCGAAGAAAAGTTGTTTTTCTGAAACTCACATTTAACTGGGTACCCTGTACTTTTATTTGTGGAATCTGGCAACTTAATAAAGAACAAAACATGAAAGCACTCCTTCCCCTCTCAACTTCCCTCTTTCCCAGTGGTAACCACTGCTAACAGTTTGGCATGTACACTACATTTTTTTTTGTTTGAATTAATTACATATAAGTATATATACAAATACAAATTCTATGTAAAGAGAATTGTACCATCATCACACATTGTTTTGTAATTTTTCAGTTATTGAATATCATAAGCTCTTTCCATGCTATTCCATATATATCTACCACAATCCTTTTGATGGCTACATGGTATAATGATGAACATAAACTGTTGTTTGGGGGGCAGGGGACTATAAAAAGCAAGGTAGTGGCCTTGCACTTAAAACTTTGTGTGTGGGCATATTATGGTACTTTCCTTCTCTTTAAGTTCCTCTGTGCTTGGTTTACAATGGAAAAGATGAAGGTTTGGAGATTATTTGTTTGTTGTATTATCACCAAGATTACTTTCTGCTCTATTTTTCACTCAGATGCCCCCGGAATTTCAGTTCCCCTTCTCCGTGGTACTCTTATCTGTCACGTCTACTTCAGATCAGCAGCGGATGCAATTCAAGCATAGGAATTATTTTTTCCACAGCTCGAGGGGCTCTCAGGACACAGAGCCTGAACTGGATTAGGCCAGCTACAGGTCACAGGTTCCCATTACTCAACTGGCTGGGCTCAAGTTAAACATTAATCATTCTCTTACATGCCTTTCCTGGTTCACTTCCTTGCTATTCTGCAGGTGCCTCAGAGTCCCGCCCACAGACTATCATAACAGCTAACACTGAGCGCTTTCTAAGTCCCGGCCACTTTCTATGTGTTTGACATTTAACTCATTTCATCCTCAGAACACTTCTATGAGGGAGATACTGTTATTACCCCATTTTACAGATAGATGTGGAAACTGAGGACAGAAAACGTTAAGTAGCTTGCTCCCAAATACACAGCTAAGTAGTGGCAGAACCAGGATTTGAACCCAGACTGGCTTCTGAGTCCAAGTTCTTAAGTACTGCATTATTTTGAAAGTACAAGGTTTCAGGGTTGATTGACCTTACCACCACCCCTAGGCATGGGCTGGGCTGATTCCTCTGCCATTCCCACCTCTCCCCAGCCTCCTCTCTTTCTGAAACTGTAACCTTAAAACCCCTTGCACTGGTTAACCACAAGAAGCCCCAAAGGGCCAAACAACCATTTCTTGGTTTTGCTTCATCTGCTTTTTAGAAGCTCAAAAATGTACTTAAAAGCAGAATTTTTGTCTAAAAAACAGTTTGACCGTAGTGATTTCTGAGTTCTACCTTGACTCATTCAACAAATATACACAGAGACCCCTCTCTCTGCCAGAGACATACTAGGTGTGGAGACAACCACAAACCCAACAGTAAGGCTCGTGGGCTTGCAAGAATTCTCTTAGAAGCCACTGCTTCCTGACAACAGTCAATCAGCCCATGGAGATAAGAAGCACTTGCCCGTTCCTTGATTTGGAGGAATAATTTTTAAGGATTAAACCCTAAGGACGGCAGGAACCACTATTCCCAACTGTCTGAAAAACCCTTCAGAACAAATGAATTTTATGCTATCTTCCTATGTTACTAAGCTTTTGCATCAAATCAGAATTACAAAAAGTTACGATCCCCAAATCCTGTATAGGGTATGACTAAAAAGTTGGGTTTTTTTGTTTGTTTGTTTTTTGAAACAGAGTCTCCCTCTGTTGCCCGGGCTAGAGTGCCATGGCGTCGGCCTCGCTCACAGCAACCTCAAACTCCTGGGCTCAAGCGATCCTCCTGCCTCAGCCTCCCAAGTAGCTGGGACTACAGGCATGCGCCACCATGCCCAGCTAAGTTTTTCTATATGTTTTTAGTTGGCCAACTAATTTCTTTCTACTTTAAGTAGAGACGGGGTCTCTTGCTCAGGCTGGTCTCGAACTCCTGATCTTGAGCGATCTGCCCGCCTCGGCCTCCCAGAGTGCTAGGATTACAGGCGTGAGCCACTACGCCCAGCCCCTTACTCATTTTTCTTAACTCAAGTTTTCTAAGGTACTAACTTTATTTTTTCCATAATGGCTCTCAAGGCAGTAATAGCTGGGTGTTTGGTGGTAACTAGGGGAAAATGAAAGGGAAGGAGTCTTGCTGATTTTATGGGAAGGTTGTTTATTATACCTGTGGCTTATAAACAAATAGTCTCATCACAGGCTTTGAAAGAAGTCATGATGACTGTAGGTGGCACATGCAGATAAATAACATTTTTAAATATAAAAAAATGGTAGAAAAACTCACAGGAGGCATGACTGATTTTTCCCAGCTGTAACTAAAAGATCATATAATTTACCTCTTTAGAATTCTATAGAAGAAAAATCTCATTTTCCCAGGGAGAAATTGAATCATTCTGACCTCCAGTTATGGCTGTCCTCCAAGCAGTTTATATAACCTATCTGGAAAATTGGAGATTGTTCACAACCAACCTGGCAGTTACAAAAGGATCATGTCTCATGGAATTATCCATGCTTAGCTCTTCCTCGTTGCTCAAAACCTTCTTGGGACATGGTAATGTCAAGATAATTCCTTACTCTGTCAAGTCTTATTACTTTAAATTATTTACCTCAGTTTGTTTATATATACTTACATACTCAGACATTTTAAAAGCATATACAGTCAAAATTAAGTCTCCTTCATACTCCCTGCACCCAGCTATCCAGGGTCCTTTCTTAGGGACAACCACTGTTACCAGTTTCTTGTTAACATGGGTTTTAATGCACTAAAATAAATGTGTCATAGCAGAGTACTGTAGGGGGAGAATAAGGGGTGAACATCCCTATAACAAAGACAGGTTAACAAGAGAAAAGCATAACAAATGTATTTGATAATAGTTTTATGTGGACATTAGAGACATTCGTAAGAATGAAGACCCAAAGATACAGAGAAAATCCATCTTTATGTTCAACTGAGTATGGACAGCTGTGTAGAAATATGACTAGACAAAAGGGGGAAGATCTAATACTAATAAACTGAGTGTGGAAACTCAGCAAGGCCTGTCTGTTCAGATTCTCCTTGGTTTCTCTGAGCAGCATTCCTTCCTCCTGGGTATGGGGCAGGACACCTCTAGAATGAGGGTCTTAATTTCTTTATGGCCAGCTGTTACACAGAAAGCAGAGGGAAAAGGTTAGAGTAATATTTTTAGGATGTATAGCTGGCTTTGTAGAAAAGGGGTTCTACGACCAGCTTTAGGAGAGAGGAATTTTAGCTTCTATGGCTTGTCTTGAGGGAGAAGGACCGGCAAGAGGCAGTAGGGCCGAAGTGCAGAGAGACTTTGCTTCGAGGCTGCTTCTTACACCTTCACTTAGGGTATGGTTTTCTGAGCCCCAATGTGCCATTTCTTTTTTTTTTTTTTTAATTTTTTTTTTTCCAATGTGCCATTTCATACTTTTCTGACAATTATGCTTCCTGTTATGACATATATGGAATTGTATTACAAAAGAATCTACAA